ACACACACACACACACACACACACACACACACACACACACACACACACACACACACACACACACACACACACCTAAATGTACAGATTGGGAGGAGACATTAAATTGATCCTGCAGGTAAATATTGGTTATGATTATATTCTTGTCTGACAACTTATGTTTCTGAAGCTTATTTAGTTTTTTCTCTATCCTCCTTCACACTCAAACACTCATCAGATTATTGTGATTTATAATCATTTTGCTTTGCTGTTATCTGAAAAAAAAAAATCCCATAGTGTACAAACAACAAACAAAAAAGTTTAGTTGAGCTCTTTATGAACACTTATTCTTAAAATGTAAAGTAACGTAAAACCAAATCAAAACAAAACTAAACGAACCAAAACTAAACAAACAGTAACAAACACACAAAACCAAACAAAAAATAAATGCTGTTTTGAAGTTTGTGGCACGTTAATGATTTGACTGACTTTGGCTCAATGATCACTGAATCATTTGGAACATGTTAAATTGGTTGTCAGTTTGTCATAACATTAAAAAAAATATCATTGCTAATAGAACCAGCCAATAAAGGTAAAACAGAGGTAGAAAGTAAAAACAAAACACACAAAAAATAAAAAAATAAAAAACAAGCTTTTTGCAAATTTTATTAGAGCTCTGCTATAAACAAAACATTTAGGAAGGACTTAAAATGAGCCTTTATAGAGAATTTGTTATTTCAATGCTTCATGTTTTATCTGTTAGATGTATTAATTTAATTACTGTAGAAATAAATATGGTTTTACTGCTTTTAGATTCAATTACATTCAAATAGTACAACTTTCAACATCAAATAAAATAAAAATTCAATCAGTAGACAAAAAAGCATTTCCACTAAAATATGCAACAATAATATTTGACCAGTTGATTGTCTGAATTCATGCAGCTACTGTATGTCATAATATGAATATAAGGATTTTTGTTAGTTCTCTTGCATTGGAGTGATCAATAATGACCTACAGAACCTTTAACAGATAAGATAGAAGCAAAGAAGGACTTTTAGGTAAACTCCTTGTGTTTGTTGGCCACAGAGAAGTGTGAGAGGTGTTGGAAGTGAAAGCCAAGAGTCAGAGGATGTTTCTGGTTAGCAGCAGTGAGAGGTTTGGGACTGCAGCCATCGGTGTCGGTCTGACTGACTCCTGTTGGAAACAACACAACGGAGATGGTCAAAGAGCCCGAACTCTCATCTGTTCAATGTGACTGCTGCCTCTTGAAAGAAAAAAACAAAAATAAAAAAATAAAAAATCCTGCTGTTTCAATCAATAAAAAGTTCATGCATTGAGTTTTGTTTACTATTTTGTTGCCAGACAACCTGTGTATAGGTTAAATTTGATTAAAGGTAACAAAACACAAAAGCACCAGAGGGAAAATCTTGCTTTAAATAATTCTAAAAAGTATAAAACTAAAAAGTGGCAAATAGCATGTACCCACCTTTTTGCTTTGAAGTCCAGATCCTTCCCTTCAGCTAAATAAGATCCACCTGTGGACAACTGAAGTGTCCAGTGATCTCAGTATAGCACTGTTCTGCCGTGACCTTAAAGTGTTGACATAGTCGGGTTATAAAAATATCCCAAAACATGAACTTCGCTTGGAGCTTCATTAAATTTATTAAAACAATAAAACAATGATGCCACCTCAGCAAGTCTGCCAAACAACTCATGTACCAAGCAACAAGGGCATTGATCAGAGAAGCARCAGAGCTACCTGAGGTAGCTCTGCATAGATCGGTTGCCAGGAAAAACAATACATTATGAATAACGGACCGTTTGAAATTTGTCAAACAAGGAAGAAGGTGCTGTGATCAATCAATCAATCAACCAATCAATCAATCCAGAGTTGAGTCTCAGGGGCAGCAGTTCGAGCCGGGAGGCCCAGACCTCTCTTTCCACAGCCACCACTTCTTGGAGGACTCCAAGTAGGCCAACAGACTCCAATGTGTCCTGGGTCTTCCTGGGATCTCCCCCCAGTCAGACATGCCTGAAGCACCTCCCTAGAGAGGCGTCCAAGAAGCATCCTGATCAGGTGGCTGAACCACCTCAACCAGCTCCTCTCGATGTGGAGGAGCAGCGGCTCTATTCTGAATAACTGAACTTCTCACCCTCTCTTTAAGGGAGAGTCCAGCTACCCTGCAGAGAAAACTTGGACCACCTATATCCACAATCTTGTTCACTGCCCAAAGTTTGTGGCTATAGGTGAGGGTAGGAATGTAGACAGATCACTTGCTGTGGTCAAATGAGACTACACCACATTTGGCTAAAACCTTCCACTTCTCATGAAGATAACACACTCCCTACAGTGAAGCACGGTGGTGGCTGTATCATGATGTAGTGAAGTTTCTTATCAGGTTCAGCTTCCAACTTTTAAATAAAGGATGAACTAGATCAGGAGTGTCAAACTCATCTTCACTGAGGACCAAACGAGCATTATGGTGAAATAGATAATACAGAAATACTATTAGATGTAAAAGTAGGTGACTCAATATTGATTTTTTTGTTTGAATTTAAGTTTGAGGGAATAAATGAGGCAGATGTAATAAGATTTTTTGCTTCTTTCTGCTTCCTTTCATTTCATTTATGACTAATGTTTTGTTTTTTAATGTAAATAGATTTTTCTTTTGTTTGTTTTAATGAACAAATAAATGAATGAAT